ATGCAGGACAACAGCACTGCAAAGAGAAGGAAAACTTGAAACAAACCCTATATCAACCCGTCTGGCCAGCGTGGTATTATTGTAGGCCAAAACCTTTTTTTTTTTTTTGTTTTTCCGTACGGAAATCCCCTCGGATACCACCTATCGGTGGCATGTCGGACTCGAACCGACTAAAACCGTGTAGGCCAAAACTTGCTTTCTAAGGAGAAGCCTATGTCCAGCAGTGGATTTTTTGAAGGCTGTTGATGTGATGTGTGTGATGTAGTATATTATAATTATACGTATCTTACAGTCTATATTATAAGTATTTTGAAGTGAAAACTGGCGCGTTGAGCGTTTTTGAATAACAAACAAAATAAGTTATTTTTTGAGATGGGAAAAAACCATTGAACCCGCGACACTTTTACCGTTACTGACACCTCTGTATATAAGTATCTACATATATTGGCCCAGTTTACACAATAGTTGGCTTTGGGTTGAAATACGTTGCTAATATGGCTATATTGATACTGTTGCGCCATAGGACTGAGTGGTTCTTGTGTTGTGTCTGGAGGACAGCGCCATCTAGTATCAAGTAGGGCACAACGCAGGGCATTGAGATTATGGTCACTAAATCCGATATTTGCTTGCAGTGCTATCTAGTGTCGAATATCGGAAGATTAAAGAAATTTCTGGATGCCTTATCGTACGTAATACTGTCTCGATCATTCCATCAAATTTTCGGAATTACTCTAGAAATTTCGATAGCACTATAAAAAAGACACAGCGTATTAACATTGAAGTCAATTTCTAGTGCGACTAACGAGTTATATAGTGATTTCTAGTTTGTTATAGTGAAGTGTTTGTAAATACAGTACAATAAAAGCAATTAAACCGACAACTTTTATTTACTATATACCCCGCTCCTAAGAATACAAACATATATTGTCTATATACGTACAACATAGATATAAATTCATGTCAGAACTTTTCGAATCGAAAAAAAAACAAAAACAAATCCTGTTATAACCAAAAAAAATTAAATTTTCAAGTTTTCACTTCTGTCGGCACTCCCGGAGTGCCATCCCCCCTCCCCTTCCCCCAGATTCTGAGGAGGAGGAGCAAAAAGGGTAACAAGGCACTTGTGATTCTTGAGTTGCTTGAGTTGCAGCAATATTTGTTTCGTAACCGTAGATACATACATCTATTAATGCGTTTTAATACAAAACATACACTTAACTGTGGCATATCATATGCCTTTATCATTATTTAGGCTTTTGTCGTAATTTGTGCACTTTCGGAATAAATAGGAAGGCATTTTATGAATTTTCTGGAATTGCTTAGTACGTGCGGTCGCTCGCACGTCCTAATTAGGACCCTCGCGTTTTGTGCGTTGGTGGCGTATCTACCTCTTGTGTACCTTTTCTTTAGTCGCTATAATTATTACTTTGCTTCTATTTAAGGACATTCTCTATAGTGTTGTCTGTTTGTCAATTTATTGTGAATAAAAATGTTATGTAGATAAATAAACTCCATGCACGCCTTCTAGTAAATGACTGATAAACCATTATTTAATCACTAGTGATACAAGATTGGCGAACCACAACGTATTACAAATTAATAATGATGTGATAACGAATCTTAGTATGAATTATATAAACTTCATTAAAATAAATAAATTAACTTTATTTATTTTAATGAACAGGTCAAAATAATATGCTTGCAACTGAGATGTCAATGACCTGATAAAATAAGTGTTTCAACATGAATAAATTAACAAGAAAAATAAAATTTATATATATGCGTATATATATATATATATAGATATTTTTTTATATGTATTTTTGTAAAAAAATATGGTAGTAATAACAGTTTGTACTGTAGGCAAATTTATGACAAACGAGTATTCAATTCTGCTGTGCATTACACAGTTTCACCACTATTTTTGTCTCCTTTTCAATGAATACACTCAATACCTTTATAAAAAGCAATTCCAGATACATGCCAAGTGTAAATTCTGATTTTCTAATAGGAGAACAATAATTTGATCAAAGCTTTAAATATGTTTTCTCTTTAGAAATACAACTGCAGCTTATATTATAAGAGAAGCTTAAAAGAAATATTTTAAACCATATTAGAATATCGTATGTGAATTTTCCAGGTCCAATAATATAATATACATATGTACTGTTAACCTCCTTTATTGATGTCGGATAAAAGTACCACTTTGCAACAATGCAAGAGTTTCTGCCTATGGGAGTTATAACGCTTCAACCAAAATAAATATAACTGATAGCCCTGTTTCTCACTAGTGTGTAAATGGATGTAATTACGAGGACTAAAAATAGACACACATACCGCCATCTATACATTAGCTCCGGCATAATAAGAAGCGGCGAGCCTATTGCCATCTACATAATTCATTTACAGACTATGAAGTCTGCAGCACCTGCTAAGAATAGTGTTCAATTTGAAACAGAATTATTACACGCTTTATATTAGCTTCACTTGTATGTTTGTTTGTATGTTTGTAACCGACTCCTTTGGGCGTGATTTTGACTGACTTTAAACGGTCAGAGTTCTTTCAAACTTTGTAGATATATCGAGGACCGATGACAATACACTAATTTAAAAAAAAATAGCTTTAAAAAACTAAAAAACACGCTTTCTATAGAAAACCAAACAAAAAAATAGAAAATAAATTTGAAAAATATATAGAAAGCGTGTTTTTTAGTTTTTTAAAACTATAATTTTGAAGTGTGTAGATAAACTATAGCACTGGGCCACTTATTCGTTCCGGTGAGCAAGTGTTCGGTGCGCGGACCCATCGCCGCTTTTGGACTCAGGAATACCCATTATCTTACATTTTACATTGCAAAAAAAGGTAACTGAAGGTATACTAAAACAAATGCTGGATACTTAGATAATTGATACGTTTAGAAAGTCTTCCAAAGAACTACCTACTACAATTTAAATTCACGAGGACTTCTTCAGAGTTCAAGATAAAAATCCAGTTAATTTTAATTGAAGAGAATGTTTACCACAACATTGCGTTTTATTTTAAGTAATTTTTTATCAATTGTGTGAAAAAAATAATGCGATTATAATTTTCTTTGAACTTGAAAAGTTAATAGGTCAATATTTTTTACTATCGAACAATGGCACGTATTGTGTTTGCTTTCCAAGTTCAAAATTCAAGGAAAAGGTGATAAAAAGAACCCTAAACCATTTTAACTTACTTTGATTTATGTGTGGAGAGAAAAGTTTAGTAAGTAAAGCATGCAGGTCTTGAGAAAACTGTCCTTGGTGCATAAATTATGTGAAAAATTCAACATCATTATCAGCCTATCGCAGTCCACTGCTGGACATAGGCCTCTCCCTTTGCACGCCACTTTGATCACTTTGGCTTCTCTCATCAAACTCCTGCCAGGCATCTTGCACAAATGATCACTCCACCTGGCCTGTGGGCGTCCTACACTACGTTTGCCTAGACGCGGTCTCCACTCAAGAACTCATCTATCCCAACGGTTGCTGGTTCTGCGGCTAAAATGGCCAGCCCATTTCAACTTGAGCTTGCTAATCCGGTAAGCTATTTCGATGGCCTTGATTCTCTGCCGGATCACCTCATTCCGGATGCTATCATAATTTTATGATTATACTTTGAACTTGAAAAATAATAGGACAATAATTTTAAATGTCAAATTTTGGCATGTATCGCACACCATGTGTCTTTGCTTTGCAAGTCCAAAATTTAGGGGAAAGTTGATAAGTAGAACCCTAAATCCCTTTAATTGACTTTGATTTATAAGTGTGGAGAGATTTGCTAAGTAAGTATGCAGGGCTTGAGAAAATTGTCCTTGGTTCGTAAATTGTGTAAAAAAAAATAATGCGATCATAATTTTACTATTAAACTTTAAACTTGAGAAGTTAATAGGGTAAATAATTTTAAATTTCGAATAGTGGAACGTAATATTATTATGTAAAATTACGTTCCACTCGGTAACTTTAAATTTCGAATAAATGGAACGTATTGTGTGTTTGCTTTCCAAGTGCAAAGTTCAGGGCAAAGGTGATACATAAAACCTTAAATCCTTTTAATTTAGTTTGATTTCATATGTGTGGAGAGATTCAGTAAGTAAATATGCAGGTCTTGAGAAAATTGTCCTTGGTTCGTAAATTGTGTGAAAAAAAATAATGCGATCATAATTTTACTATTAAACTTTAAACTTGAGAAGTTAATAGGTTAAATAATTTTAAATTTCGAATAGTGGAACGTAATATTATTGTGTAAAATTACGTTCCACTCAGTAACTTTAAATTTCGAATAAGTGGAACGTATTGTGTGTTTGCTTTCCAAATTCAAAGTTCAGGGCAAAGATGATACATAGAACCTTAAATCCTTTTAATTTACTTTGATTTCAAATGTGTGGAGAGATTCAGTAAGTAAATATGCAGGTCTTGAGAAAATTGTCCTTGGTTCGTAAATTGTGTGAATAAAAATAATGCGATCATAATTTTACTATTAAACTTTAAACTTGAGAAGTTAATAGGTTAAATAATTTTTAAATTTCGAATAGTGGAACGTAATATTATTATGTAAAATTACGTTCCACTCAGTAACTTTAAATTTCGAATAAGTGGAACGTATTGTGTGTTTGCTTTCCAAGTTCAAAGTTCAGGGCAAAGATGATACATAGAACCTTAAATCCTTTTAATTTACTTTGATTTCATATGTGTGGAGAGATTCAGTAAGTAAATATGCAGGTCTTGAGAAAATTGTCCTTGGTGCAAAAGTCGAGACAGAGAAGTCGTCGTTTTGCGCCGTTGTCAGTTGACATCTGCCCGCGAGCAGGTTAACGCGTGTCTTGAACACGCCACGGTGTATTACTACAGTATGCACGCCTACGTCATATCGAGTAATAAATAGTGTCGCGGTTCGATATGTACTTATATACAGAGTTCACTACTTGTTGTGGTCGGATTTGTTGAAATAATATTATGTTTGTGAGTGAAAACTGATGATGGCCTGGATACTCTATTTTCTAGTTTGGATGACTGCTGTAAGTACCTAAATAATAATTTATTTCACTGATATTTTAAAACATCGGGTTGAGGAGCTTTGATACTTTAAAACGGGCGTATCCTTACATTTTTATGTCAATATTATCACGCCGCTTAGGCAAACAGAATCGAGACATTAGAGCTTCAAATGGCATTCTGGCTTCTTTTTATAATTTAGGTTCTTATTACTTATTGAATCTATGGGTTTAGAAATATATATTTTTTTTAAATTAGAATTGGTAGTTGTTTATGCTCTTTTTTTGCCTTGTTTCGCCTAGCGAGATGACTTTATAAAATTGTTACTAATTTAATTGGATAGGCTAAAACTATGCATGACACTATAAATAAAATAGGTATTTATATTCTCGCATGTATTTTTGTTTCATTAAAATGTACTTCTGCAATCAAAAACGTAAAACCTTTTTTGAGATTTTAAACGAAGTAAACAAAAACGCCTATAAGAATATGGGTAGTTGGTAGATTAGCTACCTACCTATTGTTTTAATAACTATCTATCTATAGACAAATGTTTTCTCGTAAAGATACGAGTCTCATAAGCTTATCTACCTACCTACTTATATATCTAACGTTAGCTGGGCCAATGTACCAACCTATAGTGCCACAGCACAGGCATGTATATAACTGAGTAGTTAAGTAAATATACCTAGGTACCTGCCTAACTAAAACTCCGTATCTTGCTCTGAACGTAAACGTCGTCCTAATTGGTGTTCAATTAGAATAGAAACAAAGAGATACCTATGTAAAAAAAAAACATACCTACCTAATATAATATTTATATACCTATATTTATAAGAAATATAGTTATATGAATCAAATATTAACAAGTTCATATAGATAGGTAGGTAGGTACCTAACCCGAAAACAGCTTTAAAAATTTGTTTCAAATTTTGAAGTTTTTATTTTGTAGTTGTATAGATGTATATTATTATATATAAACACGACTTTACAAAAAAATGACACTGCATAAATATGGACGCCAATTATGGAATATTTACAAACATGTAATGACATTCAGAGGAACATTATCTACCTACGTTGGCGCGTTAATTAGGGTTTCAAAGATTACAGTATAGTTTTAATGTTTAATGATAGGGGAGTATCGATTGTAGATTATTTGTAAAACAAGGAAAAAAAATTATCGTAACTCACAGACTCGTATTAATCAGAAAAATAAAAAAGACTAAATCAGGATGCCCAACACTGTATAAGTTCCTGCTACCTAGTATTACCTAAATTGCGAGTAATTAGGGTTTTCCTATATCTTTTCATATACCTAGCCATATATTTGACATTTTCGGTTAGCAAATTAAGCTAATGAATAAGAATATCATGCATTCTTTTATTGCTAAAATAATTATACTTACCTATAATTAGTAATTTACTTTGAATTAATGGTAATTATTATATAGTTATAGTACAGAAAACACATTAAAATCACATCGACGTCATGACTTGTTACAACTGTTACCGCCTTTTTTTTAAATAATTCACATTGACTAGTATTTGCCATATTTTTTAAATATTTGTTTTAAGAATATTATTATTTAGCTATGACTGATTACTGGCATAAAAAGCACTATAAAAAACTTATCTGTAAAATATATCCTAAATCGATCGCACCGCACTAGCCTAGTTGTTATTTCTATTTTAAATAGTGTTGTTGTTATAATGAAAGTAAAAGTGAACTCGCTTTTACTTGCTAGCTGGCGGCCATTGTCGGCTAACGATGTCATTAATTACATTTTGACAACAAACTTCTTTCTGTTTTCACACACGTGAGTAACAGTAAGCGAACCGATGATAAACAAAATCTTAAAATATATTTCTGCCTTTCTGTCTATGTCATTAGGTATAATGAGTTTATTGGCCCGATTCGTTGTATTCCTTACTCCATTCCAATACAAATGAATATATACTTTTAAGATAAGTTTGGCAACATGTGTTAATATCTAATAGAAGTAACTTCATAACTGGTGCCAATTTAAACTAAAAATAAAAAATAAAGTTTTTTTGTAAATATTTCAGACATCTGATACACAACGCCATCCAGTTGCAAACTTAGCAGAGCTTATACTATGAAATCTAGATTGAGTTAAATACAAAAAGTATTTAGGACCCATAAAAGGTCGAGTGGAAAAGAAATAACGTCATATCAGAAGTAGGAACGTTAGTGACAATGGTGCTTCTGATTACTAAAAATAATAAAAAAGCCATTGTCCAATTATCGTTTACTACCAAAGCACGTCAGTTCCCGCACTACGGGAGTGATGCATACTCGTAAAACAAGAAAATCAACATGTTTGTATATTTTAGGGGTTCATTCCTCAAAAGAAACAGGGAACAATTATGGGATCACTTCCTTGCATATCAGTCTATCTGCTAACCGTTTTTCCTGTAGCCAAGTCCCCCTGGGAGGTTTTAAGGTTGTAAAAACATCTAATACTTATGTCTAGGGTTCCCTTAGTACACGTACACCGCGTACACGTCACTTCCCATTGACCTTTATGCTTCTCTCGGAAAAGGTTTCGCAGAACAAGTATATAAAAGACAAAATCTGAATGTCGTTAATTTGTTGTTACGAGTATATCAAGTACAAATGTTTTGCTTATACAAAATCATATTTTTGTGGAAATAGATATGTATGTATATAGAAATGATAGGCATACTTTTAAAACGGCTCTGTTAAATTTAAACATATCTACTCAAAAAGCGGGCTCAAATCTTATAGAATTAATTCCAGACACTGGACGAATATTTAATTTTTTTATACAAGTTTGTATGGACATCTTTTTGTGCGAATCAGACGCACAATGAAACAAGCAAATATTAATTTATATGTAAATCGGGGGTTTTGATCTGTAATATCATCTGATTATAACTAGTGAGAAGGAAAATACCGCAAACTATGCTAAAAGTTTATTAACACAAAATAAATTCTGTCCTAAGTAAATCTTTCACTTATGGAATGTCATGGTAAGTTTCTGGATGAATAATTACATAAACTGATAGATTATTTACGTACTTAAGAATATAGGTAGGTATAAAAACAGCAGGGAAATACTCTTAAGCAAAGAAGACCAAAAATGGTTTTCCCAAAACTTTTCCAATTGTTGGCACACTGTATTTGTTGAATTTGTTAAAGTAAAAGATGCGGACAAGGTTATAAACACAAAAGGGCAGATTCATATTCGTAATCGCATAATATAATTGTTTCGTTCTGTTAAGCAAAACTGCTTAACAAGCAATCTACAAACATGCGTCAATAAACCTGTTTTAATATGATAAGAAATACCGCTGTCACCATGCCTGTGACATCGATTTCCGAAGTAAAGTGACCCTACCATGAAATTTGATTCACCATATACCATAAATCAATTTAGTTTTTTTTAAATAATATTGGGCCTTCATCTAGATTAAGATCTAGATGAAGGCCAGACCAGTGTTGCTTTGTGCGATTTCCACCTGTACGAACGAAATTGATAATTAAATGCCACTTAAATATCGATTCGATAAGACACAAACTTGTGCTATGCTTATATGGCTCGGATCTGCTTTGATGTTTTTTTTAAACATACATACAGGTACATAGGTACATGATAAGTAAAGTACATATGTATATAGAAAACCCCAGACCAATGCAAATAAATTTGATACAAAAACATTGTGAGGGAATAAATCCCGTGACCCCCGTCGAGACCTGCCAGTCGAAAGTTTTGTCCATATGTCATGTCACTAAATAACTATAATAAACTAAATGCAGGTGTAAAAACCGAACACATTTTTTTTGTATTAACATTGGTCATTCGAATCGATATCCAGTCTTAAAATCTGTAAAAAATAAACTCATGAGATGTTGCCCACTATAATTAAGTTTAAGAAAGTTTCTCTTTTAACTCAATTTTATTGTAAATAACTTTAAAAAGGTAGACATAGTCACATAAAAAACTATATTTAAATAATATATACGACTCATTTGTAAATATATTCAACTTTCGCGTTTCGTGATATAATAATGATTGGTTTGGGAATTGACGTGTTTAATAGGTATTAATGGTAATATATATAATATAATAATATATAAATATATATATATATATATATATATATATATATATATAATGTTATACCTACTTTTGAATTGCTTGACGTTTCGACCAGAAGACAAATTCTCGAAATAAAACTTCGGTCAGATTAATATGTATCAGTTAATGTACTTTTGGTCTTAGGAGAATCCCTAGAAAAAGACATTCAAATTTTTTTACTCAAAACCCTACGAAGCAAAATTAGCACTAACTAACAAAAAAAGGCGAATCTGATTTAAACAGGTTCGCCATTAATTACAAATATAATAGCGTAATTGTGTGTTATAAACACACAATTACGCTATAAATATAAACAGTATCCAAGAATTTGAAGTATGTCATTTCTACATAAATCATAAAGTTACTGTGCAAATAGTTTTATGTAAATGTATTTGCCTGTTTAAACTATTTAAAATAATAAGCAACACACTGCATTGACGCCTACATTTATTTTCGTGTTAAAAGTCACACAATTAATTGTTATAAATCTCAACGTAATGTTGAGATTACCCTACATAATACATGTTTTATTATTATACATATATTATATTCACATAATATATGTGGCTAAGGCACGTGGCTCGGTTATCGCAACAAACAGTAGCCTACGACCTTCCTCAAGAATAAAATTATCTCCATACCAAATTTCGGTTTAGAGGTTATTGATTCCCCATACAAACTTCAACCCCCTTTCACCCCCTTAAACGATGATTTCGGGGACAAAAATTATAAGTTCTTACCGGGACTCAAACTATCTCTATACCAAATTTTATCTAAATTGGTTCAGCGGTTTAAGCGTGAAGAGGTAACAGACAGGCAAACAGACACACTTTCGCATTTATAATATTATTATATATACGAGAATATGTATATATACGAGTATAATACGTTAAAAAACAATCTACAAAAGTATTGTAATTACACAAGTAAGAAAATTTTTGGACTAGTATATTTAATTTCTTGTTTTTATTCTTTTTTCTAATTCTCACGCTTTTTAATTAACCTGTCCTATTTTATATTTTCGAATATTTTTCTTTTATTTGTACTTATTTTTATCAAAGACTCTGTAGGGTTTCTTGACTTTTGCTTATTTCTTCAGCGCTAAAGTTTATTGGTTTGGTATAGTTTTACTTATAATTTTTATATAGCTGCTGTGGTTTTTCTCGTACCAAATTTTATTCTTGCGGTAGCGGGTATATAATTAATAATGATATAATTGTTAAAATTATGCAAACGTTTGTCCACAGCTTACCATGAGCCTCTCCTATAATACGCCAGTGCCTCAGTTCTGGGGATGGGGAAGGCAATACAGTATAGACCGCACTTGGGAGGTAGGTAATATACGATTCAGTGAGAAAAAATTCAAAGAGTTTGTCAAACAAAAGTTTTAACTGTGGGAGAATGACGTTTCGGTACGAATGAGCCGACGTGACCGGAGGTATAATACTAATTATACTAGCAGAAAATTGATGTATAGGATTACTTTCGTTACTTTAAGAGGTTACCGGAGCCCCAACCAGTTCCCTTCCCCTAATTCTCAAAGAGAGAGGACTCAAATGGTGGCAAGACACTCGTGACTCCTGAATTGCAGTTCTAGCATGTCCTCAGCGACTCTCATGCGATTGAGTTTTTGGAGAAAAGTCAGGTCTTTTGGGACTAGCCGAGCGGTAACATGTTTCATACCCAAATGATTAGTTAAAATGGTACGGATCGACTCGTCAGATACAGAAAGTTCGGCGGCTATGAGGATTTTCAGTCACTATTTCCTTCTCCTTTGCGATGTTAACTTCAGTTGCAGACCTAGTTGATGGGCTACCAGAGCGAGGCAAATCTTCCATCACATCACGACCGCTTTTGAACGCTTTGTACCACTCATAAGTACGTGTTTTGATAAAGTCGATTCACCGTAAGCCTTCTGTAACATTTTCAGTGACTCCGAACACGAAATTCCATTGGCGACGAAAAATTTAAGACAAACTCTTTGTTCGATGTTTTGTCCTTTATGAAATTCGCAATACACACTAGATATGATATAACTAAAAACAGCACTGTATTTAATATAAATAACAGATGCAACTCAAACATTTGTGCCAATCTAACAACAACAAAAAAAAAAACAAAAATTTCAATATGGAACCATAAACAAATCACCCATTCCCGATACTTTTTTGACTGAATGTAAATAGAAGTAGTTGGGGGCCAAGTCAGGGCTGTACGGCGGATGATCCGTTAATTCTATCTTTTGATCTTCCAAATACTGAGTTGTTTCGGCCGATGTGTGGCAGCTAGCATTGTCATGATAAAGGAGGATACTGCGTTGTCGGTTATTCTTTCTCATTTTTTCAAAGACTTCTGGCAAACAAATGGTCGTGTACTATTCAGAATTAACCGTTTTACGATCCTCTAGTGGCACTGTAGCCACATGTCCATTTATACCAAAAAACAAGCGATCATTTGCTTCAAAGTGCTTTTTGAATCAATCAATCAATCAATCAGTTTATTTTCATTGCGAACATGGGTTTACAATTAGGTGTTACAGTTATAATATTTTTTTCTGCCACATTCTACCTGAACGAATGACATTTGTTGGGTTCGGCTCATCTTGGAACACCCAAACCGTTGATTGTTATTTATTTTCAAGATCATACGCATGTATACAAGATTCATAACCTGTGTAGATATTATAGATAGCTTTTGACGCACTCTGATCGTACTTTTGTAACATTTTTTTACACCAATCGTCACGTGCCCGTTTTTGGTCAATTCTCAAGTTGTTTTGAATCCAACGTGAACAATTTTTTTACAGCTAAATATTAGTTGAATATTTCGTATATACTTATCATAATTATTCACAGAGACGCCTCTATCTTGCGATATGTAACATGACGATCTTATTAGTTTCCGCACAGCATCACTATTTTGAGATACAACAAACGATTTAGAGTGACCTTCTTTTAATTCATCCATGAGCACAGGCAGAACTCCACGTTAAATCCATAATGATAAAAAATACGTAATTTTCAAAATGACGCCACAAAAGAATAAACAAATGAGAGCTACATGAAACCAATTTTATTGTTCATCAACAGCCTTTAATAGTCCACTGCTGGACATAAGCCTCTCCTTAGAAAGGAGGTTAATCAATTTTATTGTTCAGCCAGAGTTAAATTTTTAAATGTTATAATTACTTTTTTTAAATTGTTCTGTACCTGGCCAGTTCTGGTTACATAAATAGCAGCCCTCGTATATACAAAAAGTACCTCTTTAAGGATTCTTTTAAGATTAAGAATATCTGTACATGAAGCCATTTTCCAATATTTCATGGGGCTAGTCTTGCAAAATTATTACCTCAAAGTTAACAACTATTGGTACTAAATTGGCTCCAATTAATTGTTACAAGATAAACATTAATAATTGAACTCTACAGAATTCAATCCCCTCCTTAATATTGACTTCAGATAGCAAACAAACAAAAGTTTTGCATCATCAAAATCAAAAATGTATAGTAACTATATATTTTCTATATACGATACAAGAACTCAAAGATTTGATCACTTCAGATCTTAACAGAGACGGGTCGCGATATATATGCTCATCGGTAGGTAGATGATTACGTTATATATAATAATAACATAGAACAATGAAAGGGTAATCGTAAAACACGAGAGGTGATTAGATAGGATAGCTTTATTAATAGATTTTATATAAAAACGTTGATAATATGTATTATTAACAACTGTAGGCACGATAAAGAGAGATTCAAGGAATCATATTGACTCAAACCCTAAATACCAATAATGCTTAGATACTAAATATTGTTTTCAATCTCTTTCTTAAGAAAGATTTTGATCGCTGATAGAGAATACGTAAAGCTATTTCACGAAGAACAAAAAACAAAACTTGGAGACTGCCTCACGACAACATTTTTAGGCAGCTTTCCTAGGATATGAATTAAATGGGTGCGAGCTGTATGTCAGGATCGTGGCACAAAACACATAGCTAGATTGATATTGCAACACATTAGCCGACTTGATAAGAGGCTGGTGAGTCTACATTCCGCAACTCGTTCATTTTGGTCTCTGGCCAAGGTTGTCCAAGGGAATTTCTGTAGACTATCCTCTCCTGCATATGGAAGACAATTCGTTGGCCCATAACGCTAAGAAGAAAGGCGATCTTCTAGGCAAACTCTTTGCGCCCAAATCAACTTTGGCTGACTAGATCTATAGAATACCATCTCTAAAAAGTTTTGACCGGACCAGACGAGCAGACTGGTCACCTGATGGAAAGTGACCATCGCCGCCCATGAAGGTCTGTAACTCAGGAGTAACAAACGCGTTGCCGGCCTTTTAGGAAGATGTACGCTCTTTTCTTGAAGGTTTGAAGGTCGTAAGTAGGTTTGTATCTAGTCCAAATTAACCCCAAAAGAAACAGGTTTCTGCGTTCACCGCAAAAAAGATACCGTTTATCGTATCACCTCGGTACTTTCCTGTCCTGTCCTGTCTTTCCTGACTGCCACAGCCAGCACCGGAATCTTTGGCGTAGACATATCGAGCGAAGTCCAGTTTCACGGTCACTTTGAGAGCAAAGTCAAATTTTTAAGCTTTTGAGTAAAATAAATTGTCTAAATTGCAGTGGAGCTGAGTCTATTCGACAATCCACCAATGTGTGGGACATTGGTGGATTGTCGAATAGACTCAGCTCTGCAGCATACGCGGTTTATAAAATTCGTCAATTAACCGATGTAGAAACAGCTAGACTAGTGTATTTTAGCTATTTTCATAGTGTAATGTCAGACGGTATTTTGTTGTGGGGAAATGCCGCTGACATTCAGAGTATCTTTGTGTTGCAATTTATAATCTCAGTTATAGGCAGCTACTGAAGGATTAGTTTAAGGAAATTGGTTTTATGGCAGTCGCATCTCAATATACGAGTATATATGTAAATTGAGTGTATATTAAGAAAAAAATCATTTATTTACAAAGTTTAGCGACATTCATAATATAAATACTAGAAATAAATATAAACTCGTGTTGCCAACGACTAGACTACAAAAAGTAAGTCTTTTCGATGTGGGGGTGTGCGATTCTACAATAAAATGCCAAAAAAATTTCATGAATGAAGTATTGAAAAATTGAAGTCCTTAGTTAAGAAAAAATATGTGAAAATGCTTACTAAATTACAGATGATTATAGAAATTAAGTGTCAAAATACCTGATTGTATTACTAAAAAGTATAAATATATATATGTACGTATTCACTAAGTATTTAAAATACCTATCTAATACTGCGATAACGCGATGCGCGAAGTATGTATGAAATTCGATTGTATTGGATAAATGCTACCCATGGAGTTTATGCCGATGTTTGTACAAAACTGGTATGTAAATGTATGGACAAGGTCGTTAAGTATAATGACGATGCGTACAAAGTTTACACTGATCAAATTTGTTTGGTGTTATGGAATTATGGTATTTATTTTAGTAAGAAGTACGTTGGTCTTAATAAACCGTGTAATGTTAGAAATAAATATCTCGGGGATCAAAGACGCGTTATTTTTAATACTGGCAATGATTCCTTAGTCTTGGAGGCTAGACAAACATGGACAAATAAATGAACACGAAGATTAACAAATATTTGTTGATCACACCAATTTTAGTTCTGTATAGGAACCGAAACTACAACTCTCGGCTTGGCGAAGTGCCGAGACTATTACTTCTGTCATTACGCCATATGTGCAGTCATATCATATACAGTACAAGTTGATTTTTACACTATAAAATGTAATAATCAAAAATCTAAAAACCTTTGGCCTTTTGTGTTCTTCACTAACTTTTTTTACTTAACTTGTCTAGAACACCAATTGGAACGATGTAAGTCGCTTAATAAAACACGATTTGTATTATTAATAATAATAAATACTAAACGAAAGCAAACTAAAATAATCTACTGAATGATTTGACATTACCGGCCCATAGTAAAACGTAAAGTATGGACTCATTCAGTACTCACGGGTTTATTACCTAGTTAGCATAATGTCCAATTATAGGTGCGGTTATTCCAAAGAGGTACATCGTCTATACGTAGAACTTAGAACAGCGAATACGTCAGATTATGACTCCTATAACTATAATATGGTTTATTAGGAAAATAAGTATAACTCATACTTTTAGCTATTTGTGTAAACGGCTGTTAATTTAAAAAAAAAACACGGAAGTGGCCCCGTCAAAAAAAAACAAAGGCACAGCGGTCCTTTCCTCGAAGCCATTCGGGAACTTGCCAAACGACTTGGTCACTAAAGTGTAGATACAGTTGGCCTGACTTTTCAGTGACCATAT